GAATAAAGAAATCATTTGTAGGGAATAGCACCAAATTTTTAATTTTTTCTCCCTTGAGAGGAAAGAGAAGCATATCCTGATTATTAGATGTTTGTCATTCAGTGTTTACATGTTTTAAGTTTTGTTTTTTTTTCTAATTTTATTTTTTGGGAACCATGTTCGGTGTAGGTTCACTTTTGTATACCACTTGTATTCTGGAATTTTCCCCACCATATCAATGAATTATTACTCATCATTTTTTAAATCAGACAACATATTTCATTAGGCTTATTTTGACATGTGAAAACTTCTTTTGTAGGTTATTGACTTCCATCAGACTATGGAAGTAAATGGTATTCGCTTTTGGTGTTATACTGCCGGCCATGTCCTTGGTGCTGCCATGTTTATGGTTGATATTGCTGGTGTTCGAGTTCTCTATACTGGAGACTATTCCCGTGAAGAAGACAGGCATCTCCGCGCAGCTGAGACCCCACAATTTTCTCCAGATGTTTGCATTATAGAATCAACTTATGGTGTTCAACTCCATATGCCCCGTCAGATAAGAGAGAAGCTTTTCACTGATGTTATACATTCAACACTGATGCAAGGGGGTCGGGTGCTGATTCCTGCTTACGCCTTGGGACGTGCACAGGAACTTCTCCTTATTCTGGAGGAATATTGGTCTAACCATCCTGAACTAGCTAACTTCCCCATATATTATGCTTCTCCACTTGCAAGAAGGTGCATGGCTGTCTATCAGACTTACATCAATGCCATGAATGAAAGGATCCGCAATCAATTTGTCAGCTCAAATCCCTTCAATTTCAAACATATATCTTCCCTGAACAGTATTGAAGATTTTATAGACAACAAGCCATGTGTGGTGATGGCAAGTCCAGGTAGTCTTCAAAGTGGTTTGTCGAGGCAACTGTTCGATAAATGGTGCTCTGACAAGAAAAATGCTTGTGTCATACCTGGGTATGTAGTGGAAGGGACCTTGGCGAAGACCATCATCAATGAACCGAAGGAAGTCACTCTCACAAATGGCTTGTCTGCTCCACTTAATATGCAGGTTCATTATATTTCATTCTCAGCTCACGCGGATTATGCTCAGACAAGTACATTCTTGAAAGAACTTATGCCTCCCAACATAATTCTAGTCCACGGAGCATCTAATGAGATGGATAGACTCAAGCAGAAACTTACCTCCCTCTTTGCTGATGGGAATACTAAAATTATCACTCCCAAGAACTGCCAGTCAGTTGAAATGCACTTCAACTCTGAGAAAATGGCAAAAACCATTGGAAAGCTGGCTGAAAAGACCCCTGAAGCGGGCGAAATTGTCAGTGGTTTACTTGTGAAGAAAGGTTTCACTTACCAGATCATGGCACCTGATGATCTCCATGTCTTTTCTCAGCTATCCACTGCAAATGTCACACAGAGAATAACTATCCCCTATTCAGGTGCTTTTGCTGTTATACAACACAGGCTTAAGCAGATCTATGAAAGTGTAGAGTCCTCAACAGATGAGGAATCCGGTGTACCAACTTTGCGGGTGCATGAACGAGTGACGGTGAAGCAGGAGTCAGAGAATCATCTCTCCGTTCATTGGACAGCAGATCCAATTTGTGACATGGTATCTGACTCTGTCGTGGCATTGGTTCTGAATGCCAGCAGGGAGATGCCTAAAGTATCAATTGACTCGGAAACTTCCATTAATGAGGAGGAAGACGCAAAGAAAACTGAGAAAATAGTCCATGCACTCCTGGTTTCTATGTTTGGTAATGTGAAATTTGGGGACGATGGTAAGCTGATAATCAATTTTGATGGGATTTTGGCTCATCTGGACAAACAAACTGGTGACGTTGAATGTGAAAATGAAGCTCTCAAGGAGAGAGTTAAGACTGCATACTGGCGAATCAGAAGTGCTGTGAAACCAATACCGCTTTCTGTATCTTAGCCTCTTGTATGTTTTTTGTAACCGTGTTAAGAGTTTTATGCAAGAAATATATTGTAGTTTGTTTTCAGCTTCATATAGACAGGAAGAAAATTTTATTCTAAATCTTCAAGTCTCATCAGTAATTCTATCCTTCCTTCAACTTTCTTTGATCTGAAAATTCTCCTGTTTCAAGTTCTGGATGTTGGTGACTTGGTGTTATGCATTTTGTTAGACTTTTGATGGTGCTGGTGAGGTAGTACGTAGCTCGTGAAGTAATCGAGGTGTGTTGCAACTTGCAAACTGACTCGTACACCACTGATATAAATACAATATTTTTTCTCAAAACTCAAGTTCAAATTCACCAACTCAAAGTTAGGTCTCCATATTCTAGCAATTTCTGCCAAGCTCTTACTACTTACAGTTACTGAGGGGAATGATCTTTCTGGTTTAAGACACTAATAAGATACGATCATTTACCATAATATAGAGTTAATAGTTTGTTTGTAAATTTTGCTAGAGTTAACGAAGTCTACAAAGATAACGAATTCGTTTTGAAGAATATGGAGTAATATATAGTTGGCTGAAGGTGATAAGAACTCACCCTCTTTTTACGTAAGACTATCGGAATTTTTACTTTTTTGATGAGGATTTGATTCTTCACCCTGTAATCCTCTTTCCCTATTGCCAACTTATTTTTAGTTTATTTTAATTAAAAAGGAAAAAACTCTGAAAAAATGATTAATCATCGATGTGTGATTTATATCACAAAGGAATGATGGGGAGGTAGAGAATCAGTTTGTTGGGCCGAATATATTATAGGATACTATAGTTAAGTTAACTACATAAAATATATCATCTCCTTTAATTATATGCATCAAGATCAAGTAGAAAATGTATGTAATTGTACAACTTATTGAGGCAAATACATATATCAAAGAAAATAACATATTTTATATGATTAACTTAACTACCAAATAAACGAGTAAAAACACACACTAAAAAAATTCTTGTTTGTATCGATAGAGAATAGTTGAAACACTTTATTAGAAGTTAAGGTACTTACTTAGAATCAAATTTAGTTTGAATATCTAAATGAAATGTCCTAAAGTTTGTGGACTAAAAGTATGTAGTTCACAAACATCAAGGACAAAATTGGTTATTTTAAGTCTTCTAGTTTTCCATTCAGCATTTCCAGCTATCCATGGCATAATTCCATATCCACTAAATAAATTATTTTTTAATAAAAAATAGCAAAAAAAAAATCAGGCCTGGGGATGAATCCCCCTTTCTCCATTGCCAATTTGCTCTGACCAACAAACAGTCATCTCCCAAAAAAGGCAAAATCATCTTCCATTTCATGGAAAATCGGCAAAAAAATTGAAAAAATACCCATAAAAATCCAATCTTGATTCTCAATTCACCGGCCATGCGCCACCGGAAGTCGTCGGAGCTAAAAAGACCAGGATCTGACGCCGACCCACCTCGTTATCGAGGTGTTCGTAAACGGCCATGGGGTCGATTCGCAGCAGAGATTAGAGATCCGATCAAAAAGACTCGAGTTTGGCTGGGTACCTTTGACACCGCTGAAGACGCCGCACGCGCTTACGACGATGCTGCACGCGCTCTCCGTGGACCTAAGGCCAAAACTAATTTCAATATGTTACCTCTAACAGAGGATTCTTATGATGAGGCGAATCAGTTTGAGCTTTTCCCCAATTCGAGACCGGCTTCTAGCAGTATGAGCAGTACGTTGGAATCATCTAGTGGGCCTCTTGGCGGATCGAGTTGTAAGGTGACCCGGATGAAGATTCCTCGCCCGGTTCTTCCTCTGGAGGACTGCCGGAGTGATTGCGATTCGTCGTCGTCTGTGGTGGATGATCGGTGTGATGTTGATCAAACGTCGTCGTTTTTGGCCAAACAACCTCTGCCGTTCGATCTGAATCTGCCGCCTCCGTCGGATAACGATGGAGTTGATGTTGATGATTTGCACGTCACCGCTTTATGCCTCTAATTACCCTTCTGTTACGGTGATGTTTGTTGTTAATTAATTTGATGATGAAGAAAAAAGAAAAAAAAATAGGTTTTTTTAGTTTTCTTTGTCAAATCTTCTTACTTTTTTTTTTCAAATTTTCCTCGGAAAAATGATGTACTCAAATGTCGGATGATGAGAAACAAAATGGGTTTTTAGATTATGTGTAGATTAGTGTAATGAGTCATGATGCGATCTGTATTAAGAAAGATTGTATCTGTATTTGTGTCTGTACCACAAAAAACATTGGATCTGATCTTGAGTTACTGTCATCTCTTGATCTAGTTTCCCTTGCATTTTTATGTTTTTTTATTTTACCCTTTTGTATATAGGAAGTTGGAATTTATAATAAGAACTTATACTTGCTCAGCTCCGTCTAGTCATTTTATGAGTTCTTATGTATTACCCTTAGCTCATCGGAGACATGTATTTGTTTGTGTTATGTGTGTGTGTCATCTTTCTGTACAATCGTTAGGACTATTCTTGATGCGTCATGATTCATGACTACTTCAGGATTATGAAGTGTGCACACAGTTATGTCATTAACATCAGTTAAACAGATGAATTAGTTGTTGACACTCAAGGAATATTAGCAGCGATGAAAGAATAACACGATCATATGGTATATACTTTGTGTCCTTCATATAAGTAGATTGATCCTTTTAAATCAGCAAGTAGAAATATTGCTGCTTGAGAAAATGCGCCGTGGAGGATGTTAATGAGAAAGCAGACCCAGCCCTCAACCCAACATTTGAAAGAAAAATAATTGTGGTAGAGAGGAAGGTCTCTGTGAAAGATAATAATTGGACCAGCTCTGCAGTCTCCCTTTGTCACCTCATCATATGTTATCTTGTGATGCACCACTCAACTGCCCAGCAACAGAACGATTCAAATTCTTGTTAAATGAGTTGTGAAGACTGCTCGCTGACATCCCTAGCCTGAATGACTTTCAGCTGGCTATATTCATCATCAAGCTTGGTAAGAGCAAGTGGTCATCCATCTCTAGATGGAATGCTTCATTCGAGTATGGAAATTGCTCCTGAGGTAAGCTGTTAATTTTCAAGTGAAATTTATTTTCATGTGTCCTTTTTTCAAAAAAAAAATGAGCCTTTTAAATGTGTCCTGATAATTTCTGAGATGTCTTTTTTTTTTTCCGCTAAAGTTTAACTGCTTTTGTTCTGTGGTAAGAACTTCCGCGTAAAACCTCTCTGAACTAAAGGAAAATTATTCAAGTGTCCTTTGTAGAATGACTTGATGAAGTTAAAACTCTAATACTTCGAACGAGTATTTCATTTTCAAATTTGAAATTACCTTTTATGAGTTGAACAAGAATTCTTTTTCATTGATTTTGAAGTGCCAGTGGTGGAAGTTACTACCCTCACCTGTTTATGAACTTGTATAATACATTGTGGTGGTTGTTACCTGCGTATGTTATTCCAGAATAATGAAGGCTTACAAATGGTACTTTTGATTAGTAAAATGCTTTTTAACAAGTACAAGTGTACAACTAACAAGTTAAATTGCAAGTATCTGTGGCATAAGTTATTTGGATTGTTTGACGAAACTATTGTTGCTCCATCTTCAATTGGTGAATCTTTTTGGCAGCACAAAAAATGAGAAGATCTTATGTCGAGAGCTTTTGCTGGTGCTTCATTGTATGTTTGATTTGATCACAATAATGATCCCAGCAACCTCAGCCACGATTTGGTGAATCTCATCTCTGCCTTAGGGACCTTTGGCGGTTGCTGTGATTTCTCAAGTATGATGTCAGTATTTGGTGAAACAGTAGTCATCTGAATTTATATTTCTTACTGTCAACCATATGCAAGCTGGGATTGGGCTCCAGCATCTCTTCTGCCTCACTATACCTCCCATGTTGTTCCAACACTTCATCAGGTCTCTTTTGGATTTCGGCATAGCCCACTTAACTCCTGTGACTGCACAGTGAATAAAAAAATGATTGAGGGTATCAGATTCCTTCCCACAAAAAAAACATCTGGAATATAAGTCAGACATGCCTCTGTAGCAACCAACATGTGCTTTGTATGGTATTTTAACCTTACCGATATGTTCCCAAGGCCATATGCATTGATTTCCAGAAGCATTAAAATTGTATAAGCAGAATTAATTGAGAATAGGCCTTTACTAGCTTCCAACTTGATCTCTTTTTTTCTTTTTTTTTAAATCTCCCAATCAACTTTTTGACATTCTACCCTAAAATCAAGCGCTTCCCATTGGAACTTAACCTAAAAGTATCACTTCTAGACTCAAACACCCAAGTATAAGATAGTGATAAGTTGGTAAAAAATCCCAACTTATCTATGGTCCAGGTAATTTTCTGCTGGCCGATATTGTGGAATGTCACATGACTGCTATTGTAACTTAGCTTCCACCCCCGTCCTCTTAAGCTCTTTGCACAAAGATGCTGTAAAACTTCCATACTTGATGTCAGATGATGTAAAATTTTGCATCTTTAAGTATCAACACTCAACTTTACTTTTTGTTTTCTACTTTCTAACTTAGTTTTCTTTTTTCAGTTTTTTGTTTTGTTTCTTGAGATCAGTTTAATAGATATATAGACCGATATACTTGATGCCAACCTATTCTCTTCTAATTTTGACTATAAATAAGATGTACATGTGGAGTATGAAAAAGCGATTGTTGTTTATAAATAACTTCATAATATTTCTTGGTCTTCACAAGAAAAAGTAGAATACTTCTCCAAAAATATCAATTAAGGGAATGATCCTGAAATATAATTATACAGTACCTCTTAGCTCTTTTGTGGTGAACTATTTAGAATTGATTCACAAGAATTTATATATGTTTGTTTCATAAAAAAAGAAGGAACTATATAATTGTTAACCCGTTTTCTTTTCTGGTTCATTACTGATGCTTGTCTTAATTAAACTACTTTCTAGTCAAGTCGCATGAAGAATTGCAAAAATGATCAATCAAGCTACTTGAATGTGGATCACAGGTACTAGTTCCTGTTAAAGTGGTATAAACTTTAAAGTACAAAAGAACATGTCACTTTAACACCTAAAACTGGAAAGCATCACACCTTAGCACATAAATGATGTTGCTATTCAACTAGATGTGATACACTGTTAATAGATTGCCTCATCTTTCCATCTGTTCAAGCCTTGGGGACGTGTATCTGTGTGGGTGGAAGGTAGTAGGTACCCCGTGGAATTAGTCAAGGTACGTGCAAGCTGAAGATATACTTGGCACTCTGATTTTATTATTGCGTGACAACGAGCTTTTTAATAAGTTACAGTTTGCTCGCCAATTACCTTGAGTTATGATGAACTTGAAGGCCATTATTTTGTCCACAATGTGGCAAAGAATCTGTTCTTTTTTTACTCACTTCTCATTTCCTGATAAGCTGTTCTATGCTCCTTAGATCGGCACATCAGCTATATGCTTTCTGCTGAATAATCAAGATTTTATTAAGCTAGTCCAAGTAAGGTGTCTGTACTTACTCATTACGCATGTTTTTGTTTTGTTTTGAAACTGGTAACATGTATATATTTATAGATATATATGAATTAGATCTGCACCATGACAGTGCTATCTACAATTACAAAAACCCAACCATGCTTAGGACTACAGCTTCACAAGGAACCTATCATATCAACTAGTGGTTCAGTCTCCTCTACATAGTTTTCTTTACACCAAAAAGGGAACAAAAGAATACAATTCTTCTTGATTTTCTGCACAGGATTGCTTTTGTCTTCAAAAAATTCTGTAGTTCCTCTCTTTCCAAATTGTCCACCATATACAAGCTGGGACAAGTTCCACGTACTTCTTTTGTCTCACTGCACCGCCAATATAGTTCCAACACTTCAATAATTCACAACTTGTTGCTGGCATAGACCATCTTAGTCCTACCAAGTTCAAAAAAGTTGCCACAATTGTCCAGTTATGGGACAATGTAGAAACAGATGGCTATTGTCTTCTCCGGCTGCACCACACATACAACATCTAGAGCATAGATGAAATCCCCTTCTTCTTAAGTTTTCTTGAGTGAGACATGCTTCTCTTGCTACTAGCCAAGAAAAACATAAGACTTTGTAAGGGGGGCCTAGGTCTTCCAGATGAACTTCCATGGCCACTGGTCAAATTGTGCATTTTGTCTAATCTGGTAGTTGTATGCAGATTTGACAGTGTAGACTCCATCACTACCAGATTTCCAGCACAACCTATCCTCAGATTCTTTGAAGCCCTAGAAAGATTCCAAGGTCTTGAACAAGTCCACGACTCTTTCCAATTCCCAGTCATGTAATAATCTTCTAAAAGTGATATTCCACCCATGTACTCCTTTAGCTGATTCAAGGTTAATATCTGGTAAAGTAGCAATAGTGTAGAAATTAGGGAACAAAACTTTTAAAGGACCGTGCCCAAACCAGTTGTCATGCCAAAAGAGAATTTTCCTCCCGTTGCCAACTTTGAAACTGACATTTCCAGCCAAAAGTGGCCAAAAAGATCTAATGGCTCTCCAAACTCCGACTCCAAAGGGACAATTCACAGAATTTGAGCACCACTGGTCATCTTGGCCATATTTATCATGTATAAATCTCCTCCATAATGCATCAGTCTCCAAGTTATATCTCCATAACCATTTCATCAACAAGCTTTGGTTATGAGCTTTGAGGTCTCTAATGCCAAGTCCTCCATCCTTTTTGCTGGTGATGAGGCATTCCCATTTGACCAAATGAATTGCTTTCTTTTCTTTGTTACCTTGCCAAATGAAATTCCTCCTCAAGGAATCTAATCTTTTCAAAACCTTAGAAGGGATAGGAAACAGAGACATGACATAGGTAGGGAGAGCATCCAATACACTATTGACTAGAATGATCCTGCCGCCTAATGATAAATATTGCCCCTTCAAGTTAGAAAGCCTTTTTTCACACCTTTCTATAACACCGTTCCAGATTTCCAGAGCTTTACTTTTTGCACCCAAAGACAGCCCTAGATACACAGTAGGTAAGGATCCCACCTCACATCCTAGAACTCCTGCTAACATTACACATGCTTCTGCTGCTTCATCTTTCTTTCTATGTATAAAACTTGTTAAAAAAATGGTACAAGGTATGCATCATTCCATAACCTTTGGAGAGATGATGCTGCAGCCTGCAGGACAGAAGACTGCAACACCCCATAAGCAAATACTTTAAAAAAATTCCAACTTGGTGGTGAAAATTCAGTTTTTTTTAGTTTAAATTATATTGAGAAGAATTCAGGTTCATGCTAGAGATTAGGCAGGACACAAGCTTTAAGTAGGTGTAGACATGGTGATGCATTAAAAAAAAAAACTCATAGGTATGTGGCAAAAGGGGTCGATGGGTCAACAAAAGAAGATATAATTACAAGTATGAACTCATTATGAACACAATCTGAAGAATATATAAAGGTAGCTGAACTATACAATTTGTAAGCCTTTCATGTGATATAGCTAGGTTGTTTTCTGTCTAGTGTTTTACTTCATCAAAATGTATTATTTTGACTGGTTATTTTGGTAAATGGATTTACAGCTAAATAAGACAGATTTGAGCCGTCCAATTTAAACTCTATTCTGGATGAAAGAGAAAAGATGTCCTGTTAGTGATCCCTTTGGTAAAGCCTACCTGAGTAGTGTCTTTCTTCGGGTTAAACTTGAAACGAAATGTGTTTGCTTTGAGAAACATGTTTGTATATTTCCAAAGAAATGAACATTTTGGTGCTTCCTTTGACATTGTTTAGATGCATCCTTGAATAATTTTATTCCTGCACTCTTTCTAGGATTGTATAAGAAAATCAGTTGTTGGCTTGTCTTCAGAATATGTATTTCATTAGTGTTTTAGGTGTCGTGTAGACTAGTCACATAAATAGCAAACAATCTAAAGTACTATGCACTATCTGTAGGTTGGAAAGCTTGAAGAAGCTGTATTATATGGCAGGACTTAAATTGAAAACTTCTACAGGTTGTGGGAGACTATGATGACTTGGTCAAGCTACTGGAGGAAATTCTGTCAAACCATTTCGTAGCGGTGTTAACTGATTTGCGTTGTATTAGTATGAGCAGCTATTGAATTCTTTCCTCATTTGGGCATGGGAATTGGACTTGTAATGTAGAAATCGAGGAAGCATGCTGAATGGCAAGGAAAGGAATTGCAAGTTTTGAAGTGGTTTGGCTTTTATCTTTGTTGCGACTTGTAAGAACAAGTCTTTTTGCTTTGTTTTTTTTTTTCCCTTAAAAATTCTTTTAGATAATAGAATTTGTTGATCGAGCAATGTTAAGCATGAACTGGCTGTTGAATATGTTTTGAGTCCGTTCACAATTTCTGAGTCATTCGCCAAACTAGCAATCTTATTAGCAAATAAATTTTGTAAATATTCATGAAAATGACAGACGCATAACGGATAAATTTCAACACTAAACAGCCAACTGCTGTTGAACAAATCAAGCCCCAAATTTAGGCAAACATTGACTATACAAAAATCAGTTCAACTTCTACAATAGCTGGTTGGAGCAACGCCCAAAATTCTATGCCCTTTAAATGGTGAAATTTTTATCTTAATTACGTCCAAAAAAAAACGCTCGAAGCATGATCCTTTCCCCTTGTTAGACGACCTTAAAGTACTTTACTAACCGAAAGCCTCGACAAAATTTGGAGCCGGGTACTATACTACCAACTACTAAGGATTTACAGCATATGCAGTTAAAAACTTTACAATTTTCAACAGAAAAACATTGAGTCGCTGACATTCTTGTGCAACCTGGGCAGTTCGGTGACTGGGGTAGTCCCAATTGATTTTACACTTCCCTGTTCTGACAAAGTTTCGGAGTGGTCCTCAAACTTGTCAAACTGCCCGAATTGTTGTGCTGCTAGGTGTGCATAACGCACAGGAGCCACTGCAGCAACAATGAAGTTGGATGATTTGCTTAATTTTGCTAATTCTATAATTCAAAAATTTTAATGCAGGATAAGAGGAATTACCAATAGAGGTCGCACTGGTGCTCCTTTGGTACCTGAAAGACAACAAAGTACTATCACATTGAACTTGCAAAGTGCATCATAATAACTTATAGATTACAAATCAGACAGCTTACACATATGATAGTGAATGTATAAGATTTTGCAAGACATCAGGTGCGAAACCAATCTCATCAAGCAATACATGATAATGTGCAGGTTTAGTTGTTCCCTGTAGTAAAATTTATAGAGACAGACTATATCAGTTTACATTATTCTAACATTGTTGAAGCACTGAAGGAGATAGAATTAAAAAGTTTAAAGCCCAGGTAATACATAATGACTCCAAGAAATAACTAATTATCTACTAGGGCCATGCGCCAGGATAAGTAGGGCAAAATCTAGGAAACCCCCGATGGATAAAGGGATTAGAGTAACTTACAATCATCCCCGCATGTGCACACATGAAAAAATCATTATTTCTAGGATGCACAATATTTGTGTCTACAACAGTACCTGAGGGGAGAGAGAGAGTGCATTTTAAATAATACCTTAGCACACATAAGTTGAAGTAGAACAAAAGAGTAAATGGAAAGTTACAGACCTGGTGGTACATTATCAACTGCATTAGCTTGAAATAGTTTTGTATGGTGATTCTTTTGAGCCACGATCAAGGTGAACTTAGGGTTGCCGCCCTCACCAAGATGGTTGTATGCCTGTTTTTCAGAAAACATGAGACCTAAAAATAAACATCCAGGAACTAACAACTGATGGATGATGTATAGAACTCAGATCCTAAGAGATTCCTCAATTTAAGCATTAAATCCTAATATTCATTTAATTTTGTGTCATGAAAAACATAAGATAAGAAATTAAACATCTCTATAAAGAAAAATAACTCTACGATGCAGTATTATGTATGAGTTTATCAGAATGACAGAAGGCATAAACAATTTTCAGATAAAAAGGACATTACCTTGATCATTTGATCTAGCTCAAGGTTCAGAACTTGACTAAACTGTGATTCACTGACGCCATCCCTAACAAAGAACAGTGTTAGGTCAACTGCAAATGGTTATCGATATAATAATTAAGAACAATCATCATGTTATTGCAAACAGAAACTTTGAAAAGGGACTGCTATAAAAGTCTCAGCCACATAAACCTCAATACACTAGCAAAGGTATATAGTAGTGTTAGTTTGGCTGCGTCCTAAGCACTCAAAGAACCATGTTCTTTGAGCAACTATGCAAGAAGGTGAATCGCGGAAAGCAAATCAACACAAGTATTTGACGTGGAAAACTTTCTTACTTTAGGAATCAAAAAGCACGATCCAACTATCCACTATAATTCAAGGTTTACAACCGCTCTTGTAACAACTTAGGACTTGTTCCCAACAATCCCATCTTCTCTACCCTCTATACTCTTTTCCTTCCACCCTTTACAACTCAAGATAACACCTACTACAATCTAAAAGAATGTAATGATCCTCCCTTGAAACTACTTCAAGAAACTACCTATTACAAACTAAAAAACTGTATAGATAAACTTGATAGGGACAGGTTCTTTGTTGCAACAACTTCTTCTTCGAGACTCTTCATGTAGAACTGGGAACACTCTGAGGACTCTGTCTTTGGATGTGATCAAACTCCAAAGTTTGTTTAATGCGTTGTTTATATAGGAGTAGGTCGCTGCCTTCTAGATATCCGTTCAACATTTGCCAAGAATCCAATCCGAATTTGACTTGGTTTAACACTTGCTTCTTCAACTCCTTGTTTAAAACTAATTCCATGTGCAAGTTTATCGTAACTTTCCTTGTATACCTTTACAGTTCCTTGGAGAGCTACATTCTTCATGAAAATCTAGTGCACATGTAAACCGTCTCAATCTTCTCTCTTCGAGAGTCTCCTTCTCTGCTCAAAGGAACAAGTTCTTTGATGAGTTCCTTTGGCAGTGTTGCTTTTTGTGTCCCTTCTTTGGAGATCTATGAGGACCTGATTCTTTTTTTTGATAAGATAAGTGGTATTAATAACAGCATCAGGAAGATGCAAAATTTACAAGATATGGCATTTGAGCTTACAAAAAAAATCTCTGGCTAAACTATACAAACTATCTAAGCCAGAGCTAATGAGTTAGTAAAATCCTGAAGTTGTTCTGCATTAACAGCAGGATACAAGTTGGTCCAACTAAACAAATTTTCAGTGCACCTAGTCTTCAAAATGCCTAAAGCAATTGACTCTCCATCAAAACATCTCTTGTTCCTCTCTAACCAAATACTCCAAAAAATACAAGCAGGTATCATAATCTAGATCTTCTTGATGGCTTTGTCAACTTTCCATAGACTCCAATTCTCATATGCATCCTTAACAGCACAATATAAGCTGAGCTAATGAGTTAGTAAAATCCTGAAGTTGTTCTGCATTAACAGCAGGATACAAGTTGGTCCAACTAAACAAATTTTCAGTGCACCTAGTCTTCAAAATGCCTAAAGCAGTTGACTCTCCATCAAAACATCTCTTGTTCCTCTCTAACCAAATACACCAAAAAATACAAGCAGGTATCATAATCCAGATCTTCTTGATGGCTTTGTCAACTTTCCATAGACTCCAACTCTCATATTCATTCTTAACAGTGAGGGGTGTGGTCCAAATGCCAGAGAGACAAAAAAACATGCTCCATAATTCTGAGGCCACCTCACAATGAAGAAGAAGGTGTCTAGGGGTTTCAGCCTCTTTTTTGCACATATAGCATCTGTTTGGGAATTGGATTTTTCTTTTCTTTATGTTGTCTTGGGTGAGACATGCCTCATATAGAGCTATCCAGGTAAAAAAAACTACCTTAGGTGGTAGCTTGGTCCTCCAAATGAGTTTCCAGGGCCAGTTAGCTATCACGGGGTTTCTAGAGCACAACTGTTGATACCCTTCCTTGACTGTATAAACTCCTTTCTGGTGTCCCCATTTGAGCTTATCAGCTGCCTGGAGATTAATGTGACAATGTTGTAGTTTAGCAAAAAGGTCTACCAATCTAGAGCACAACTGTTGATACCCTTCCTTGACTGTATAAACTCCTTTCTGGTGTCCCCATTTGAGCTTATCAGCTGCCTGGAGATTAATGTGACAATGTTGTAGTCTAGCAAAAAGGTCTACCAGATCATTCACTTCCCAATCGTGCATATTTCTTCTAAATCTTAGATCCCAATTGATCCCTTCTCTATTAGCAGAAATAATAGAATTGGGATCTTGAGCAATTCTAAACAGATCTGGGAAATCCTCCTGAAGAGTGGTATTTCCAAGCCATTTGTCTGTCCAAAATTTTAGGAGTACACCATTGCCCAATTCAAAGTAAGCGTTCTGATCAAATGTATCCCACAACATCCTAATACTCTTCCACAGTCCCACTCCGTAAGGAAGTGTAGTAATATTTGAGCACCATTGATTCAGCCTTCCATGCTTAGCTATGATGACCTCTTTCCAGAGCCCTGCGTCTTCCAAGTTGTATCTCCAAAGCCACTTCATCATCATACTTTTGTTGTGGGCTGCAAGGTTCTTAATGCCAAGACCTCCTTGGTATTTTGGTTGTGTGACCTTCTCCCATTTGATGAGATGAAATTTGTGTTTCTCCCTGCTGCCTTTCCAGAGGAAGTCCCTTCTTATCTTGTCAATCTGTTCTATAACCTCACTTGGCATTGGGAGCAAGGCCATGTAATAAGTAGGTAAACTGTCTAGAACACTATTGATAAGTGTTACTCTACCACCAAAGGAGAGGTATTGCATTTGCCATGTTGCCAACCTCTTCTCAAACTTTCCAATAACCCCTGATTCTTGATACTTCTATCTTTCTTCTTCAGCATGTGAATGTCACTTGTACACAATTTGTCAATCAAAACTTCAACATAGCTTCACAAGATCTTAAATGTAGATTTAGAGATCATTGTGTTTTAACAAGTAGAATGGTTAAAATTCACCTAGCTTGATACCTTATATAGCTAAGAGTCGCCAAAAGTCTTATGGAGACAAGAGGCACAGGGATCTAGAATTTAAGGAAGGTGAATAGGTGACTGTGTTCTTGAATGTGTCACCAATGAAGGGAGTCATAAGATTTGGAAAGAAAGGGAAGTTGAGTCCTAGATTTGTTGGACCTTATAAAATTTTGAGCACGATGAGTAAGGTGGCTTACGAGCTAGACTTTCCATCAAAACTATCCTCAGTTAAAGAGAGCTTAATGTAT